AGCAAGAGCTTGGAAAACGGGTGCCAGCAGTTCGGTTGAAAGTCGGAATTAGGCAGTAAGTGAATACCTGGTTCTGGCTACTCTTTTTTTATGTTATTTCCGATATCCTGGACTCAATCAATCAAAGTATTAAATTCTAATTAATTGTTTGATGTTTTTTTTTTTGTTTAATTTTCAGTGTGCATAATCACACATTACGTGATCCTTTGCGTTGGGCAATATTGCCAAGGACTTGTTGGGCAGTGAGACGTTGCCCGACATCTGGATTGTGCATTTTCTTAACGAGATCCTTTGCGTTGTCTGATACTTTAGGCCGCTAGTCTCTTTTAAAGTCAATCACAAATCCGAATCGCTTATGTTACTCCTTGTTCAGTTTCTATGACAAAAGAAAAGGAATACACGCATGGGAATAAATTTGTTCCTATAGTTCTCAGAACTTTGCAATTAATTACATCGGTAAAAATCATTTGAAAAATCCACAAGATTGAAAAGGCTATGCACACAGCATAGACAATATTGAATCATATGGTATAAAATAATAATAAAAAAATCAACATTTTTTTTTAGAATGAAACTATGTTCTACGTGACACAAATCTCCAAATCCCTCCCTATATATTAATTCAAAACGTGTTAAGCCTAGGTGTCAGATTCTCACGCTTCGGATGCTGACATGGCAGAAATCTATGCTTCGTAATGTTGTTTTTATATTATTTTTGCTCTGCAGTTAGGTTTGGTATTTGACATAAATAACTTTACACATATATTCATTAACTCAACACTCATGTTGTACATGAGTATTAATACTAGTACTTTAGATAGTGAAATCAAGATCAACTCATAAAATAAACCACTACGAACATATACCAAGTAGAAACATAATTGAACACTAAAAATATCACACCACTGCCTTGCTCAGGCAATAAGAGCATCCCCAGTCTACATTTCACATAGTACAACGCAAACTCACAACAGTGGGCTCCAGTCAATAGAAAACATGCCCACAAACGAATCAACTTATTATCATAAGCAGATGAAAAACAATTCCACAAATAGAACCACAATTTTCAAAGCACAAACAATATCTAAAGTACATTCAGACCAAAAAACGCAAAAAATAGATTTGCCTCGTCATTCACTCATTATGATTTACTCTTAACCTAATTATTAGACAAGGAATCGATAACTGTATAGAGTTAAATCAAAAATAAAAATCCAAACATTTCATTAAATCATTAATCCTAAAATATGAAACTCCCTAAACCAAAATATACAAACACTTACAAGATAAAGAAAAACATAGTAAATAAATAATAATTAAACAAGGAACCAACAAGAACAATGAAAGAATCTCCTCCACATAGAGAGTCAATATCCGACCAAAACGTCAACTAACTCTACCTTGAGAATTGGTTGAAAGGCATATGCTTCTGGAATTGAAAGCCGACAAAAAAATATATGTCTTTTTAATCTGTTTCTTCAAATCCACATCTCTAGCAACCTGAAAATATGATAAATAACTTCCGCATTCCATTTATCGATTATGTAGTGATCAGTTTAAAAAAAAGTGCACACTAGTAAAGACTACCTTGATAATAGTGGAAAGTTGGGCATGTGCTTTGTATATTCTCTTTTCTTCCTTCTCTTCTTGATCATTTTTCACTCTTATCTGGAAAAATCAATGGCATTGATTACGTAAAACAATGAATATAATAAGATTAAATCTCTTCTATGACTGAAATGTTACCTTTAGATTTTCTGCTATATCCTTCTCATCCATGTTGCATATTATCATATCTTTGTCACCGTTAGTGTTATATACTAAAAGCTTGATTTTGGATGATATTACACTTTTGCTCTTAATGAATGAGAAATCATGTTCGATTAAACAAATTTTATGTTCTGTTGTTTTGCACTTAGATAGAATGAGTCATCATCGAGTGAACAGAAGAACAACCTATCAATTACTTGCGAAACAAGAATTGTAGATGAAAATGAACACCCCATCAGAACGGGTGTAGTGTCAACAATATATTTGGTCTTGACTGATTAGTTGCACTAGTACATTTATGTATTGAATAGGATCCCAGGAGGAGAAATTCGTTTTATACTAATCTTCATAAACTAACTAGGCCTCGGGTGATTATTGTTCTCTTAATCTGTAAGATATTAAACAAACATATGAATGCAATACATATTACTTTGATTCACTTGAGTTAGGTTCAGTTCATTGGACTAATATTCTTACTGTCTTGGGTAATATTGTTGTATGTATGATGTGCTTTTAGGATATTTACTGTCATCATGTGCATTAGTTTAATGATGTCCTAAACCCTGCATGTGGATTAAATTCTGGCATAATAATAATGTGATGAACGAGCACTAGTTTCAGTGAAATAATAATATATTAATTAATTCTTGATTATCAGTAATCAAATTAATTAATGCACATTATATCTTAAACATGCGGAGGTAATTCGGGTAATTATTATTGGAGTCTCAATTGTAATCTGGGCTAGGAAAAAGGAGTGCAATATATTATGTTAGTGGCTCATAATATTATTTAAGTAATTGGAGGAGTGGGTCAGGCCCACAGTTAGTCTATTACTTAATAAACCCTATTCATGTTCTCCTAAGGATCCCTACTGTAGCTCTATATATACATCATTAGGCTCATGGAAAAGAGAACAAGAGGTCAAAATTGTCTTACATGTGAAATTCTATCACACGCACGCCCTCTCTCTCTCTCTCACTCAACTTTCTGTTCGAGCTTTATCTTCTTCTTGTTGTTCCATCGGTACAAGTTGAAGAGTTGTAAGAGTGATACAGTAGAAGATCTCGAAGGTAACAAGAGATCGTGATCATCTATCGGAGCTAACGAACCTCAACCCGAAGGTCAAGATCCACCGACCCAGCCCAGTCAAACCACCCGCTGTAACACCCCGCTATCTTATTAATATCAGAGTCAATTTTTCGCAAAATCTTTTCTAAAAATACTTATTAATTTGCAAAATCATAATTCGGGATGCTACTAAAAACCTTTCTATTCTAAAAAACCTGTTATCTTTTCTGAATTTGACTGTTAAGGAAAACGGTTTATATTTAGTCAAACTAGCATATAGTACTTGTAAAAAATCCGACTGATAAATCGGATCAAAATCTGAAAACTAACATGCAA